AGCTTTAAGCGTTCAAGATGTCCTAAGCGAGCCCTCGCTGCTGCCCGCCCGAACAAATAATAGCAAAGAAAAGTGATATGAGGCTCATGTGCTAAGCTTCTTATAGGTCGGGAAAAGAGGAAGGCTTCTGTGACGAGGTGGCCGAGTGGTTAAGGCGATGGACTGCTAATCCATTGTGCTCTGCACGCGTGGGTTCGAATCCCATCCTCGTCGGTGCTGCTTTTTTCCCCCATTTGTGACCGCCCTTAAGAAAGACAATGAGAAGCACTGGGGTGCCAGCCGGGCCCTAATTTAGTGGTGACAGAGGAAAAAATCCTACCGGGTTCCCTGAGCCCAGTCTCCACCCCCAGCTGCCCCTCGGGGCCTGTGAAACCTCAGGCAGCAAGGGGGATATCAACATGCCCCGTGTGGGTGGCAGCCCATCCTGAGCCACTGGGACAGGTTGTGAAACAGCATCCTCAATGCTCTGCCTATGTCAGGCAGCAACACAAGCCAGGTTGGCCTTTTTCTGGGGAGTTAGCAGTGAGGCACTGCCTAGGCAGCTTTGAAAAAAAAAACAGTTGTTGCATCTCATGAATGTGACCTGGGAAGTCCTTTGCTGCACTGTGATGGATCACGGTAAGATGCAAGTGACTGGTGTCCAGTCTCAGCACTTGTTGGGCCTGTCATCGTTGTGGTTATTCCCACCAGCAACTTCATCCAACAGGTCCCTAACATCAAGTTAATCAGATCCAGTTCACAGAAACTTTTCTAAGTCATTTCTTAACATGTTCCTTCCCTCCTCAGCCTGAGCTCCTTCCCTCCCCATTGATGCTGATGGTATTCGTGTTCACCATCTGATCACAGTGTGCACCTTAGCTCCTCAAGGTGAGCCCCCAAATGTATGGTACTTAGAAAGCCAGTCCTTCTTTGTAAACTTCTGAATTATCTTGGTGAGGTCGTTCTTGTTGGTAGCTGCACAATCTGGAGTTATACCTGCATATATTGGCTTTGGGGCACATGCCAGATATTCTCCATTTAAGAAAAGGTTGTGTTCTCATGCAGACTTGACATGATTGAGATGTGAGCATGACAACACTACCTTTCACACACAGGGCTTCTGTCTCCACATCTTGCAGGAGTCACCAATAGTAATCATTTCTTCCCTGGGCAGAGATGCAGCATTCATTTTGAAATCTGTCTCTTGAAGCCAAGCAGAAGTTATTTACATAGCCTTGATTGCTGGAGGCAAATCATTCTCAAATCCTGGGAAGTTTTTAACAGCAGGTTACACAGACACTTGAGTGGGATGGTTTAATCAAGGATGATCCTCCCCTGAACAGGGGGCCAGGCTAGGTAACCTGGTAAGATCCCTTTCAGCACCACTTTCCTATAATCCTATAAAATACATAAAAAAATGTTGGGATAAGAATAGATGATGGTGCTATTCATTGTTCTGGATCCACAGTGTGCTCAACCCATTATCTAGCATCAGTTGCGCGTGTCTGTCTCAAAGTATCTTTTTCATAACTATAACAAGCTTTCAAGGTAGCAGCTTTGTCATCTTGGCTAGCAGAGCTGTGTCCCAGATGGTATCATATGCCATGGTATCCAGTCAAGAAATACAACTCTTCTTCTAATGGAAGCTGTCTTTTATGTTAAGTGACAAGAACAAGAACTTCATTTTTGCACTGTCATGGACCCAGAGGGACAGACTTCCATCTTCAGCTCCCTCTGTGCAAAAATGAAGTTTATTTCCTACCTATGGAGACTTTTTACTATCTTGTACCATCTACACTTTTCCCAGAGCCTGACAAAGGGACTTTGATCCCAAAAGCTTGCAGAAAAGGACAATTTTCTTGCCATTTTCCAGCTGCTCCAATAAAAGGTATCATTTTGGAACCAAGACTTCTAGTTTTTTGTATGTCTTCTTGTCTCAGACCAACACGGCTACCAAGTAAGAGGCTGATAATGAGTGGCTCCCTGTGGAGGTTCCTTAGCTGAAGTCAAAACAGTCCATCTGCTATGCACAGAAAAAAAAAAGTAACTAACTGGGTGCTCAGGGTCATAAAAGAAATATATCATTTCAGTCTATGAAATCCAATGCCATTTTGTAAGATTTCCTATACCCCCTTGGGGTAATGACTGTTCAAATCCCCCATTTAAGTGGACATTTGCTGTGAGTATCAGTAATGTGGGGCATCTCAGGCTTCAAGGAGGTTTATAAATGTTAACTGGCTTGTAATGCTACAGGGAAGCCCCCAATGGTAGTTAGTAGGGCTTCCTCATCAATCCCAGAGCAGCTCTGTTATATTTTTCATGAAGATTATAACTAATAATGTTGTAGCTTCTGAGTGTAAGCCCATTGGCAAGTAAGACTACATGTTCATTGAAGACTTTATGACAAGCCACAGGGTTCTTTCATTGCTATGTAATTTTTGCAGGTGAAAACCCCTCAATATTGAGTTGAAGGATGGAAAGTGAAGAACCAGCAAGGATCACTCCACTGTAATTAGGATCTGGATTCTACAGATTCAGTCTGCTGTTTGCTGCTTTAGTTCTCCCATCCCAAGGGGGATTCACAGGGATTAGTTAAAGGCAGAGAGAGGTAGGTAGCCATGTTAATTTGAAATCAGGCAGAAGGCATAGTAGAGGTGCAAGTTATAAACTATCTGAATCAGAGATGCATAACCTTCTGTATGCAAGAGGCCTGTCTATCAGATGCTATGACAAGGTGAAAACATTTAATGAAATCCAAAAAAATAGCTAGGAGTTAACACTTTCAGTGATTTTATCTCACTTGGCTTAAAAGCCTCCCTGCATCTAAGTGTGAAAAACAACACATGCATGGGCAGAAAAGCAGTACATACAGTCACAAGAAGAAAAAAAAAAATCAGTGTTATTCTGCTAGCTTTAACACTAGAGTTCACAACTTGGGGTTGATATTCTTAATGTAATTTAAGATGTTCACTTTTTGTTCTGAATTTATATTGTCAAAACAAAAAACAATACTTATTCATTGCTGGAGCATCTTGGTTAACTCAAGTTCAGAAGGTTCCCTAAAAACAGTGGAGCAGTCAGAGACCTGGGGAATCAAGTTATAAAAATGAAGTTAGGTCTCTAAGAGGCAGTTAGTTCCCTTTCTCAACTTACAGGTATTGCAACTTCCTAGAGCAAGTCCTTTCTGGGTCTGCTACTCCTAGCAGCTCTAGGGTGTCCAGACTGTGGAATAAACTCCCTCCAGTGGTGGTGCAGTCACCTACCCTGGAAATCTTCAAAAGGAGACTGGACAGTCACCTTGCTTGGTCACCTGACCCCAGTTGTCTTTTTCTGCCTTGTGCAGGGGGACTGGACCTACAAGGTCCCTTTCAGCCCCTAACAATCTATGAATCAATCATAATAGAAGTCCCCTGACCTTAATGGAACTATTTAGGTAAGTCAACTTTGCAGGGTCAGGATCAGAAAGCTCCAGGAAGATGGATTCCAACCAGTTAAATGAAAATGACACAGGCTTTTTTTTTTTTAACCAAATATTTATAGGAACCCATCCAATCTGTCCTGAAATTGCAAAAATTATAACACAAATGATTGCGTCCAGGAGACCAGAACATCCCTGTCCATTTAATCCATCATTAAGAAGCTTTTTAAAAAATGAAACCTGAAGTTAATGGAATAGAAGGGCTCCCATGAGGTGTTTCCGCTTTACAAGTTAAACACATAATTATAACCATTTAAAGCAGCCTTGCACAGGTAGTTTACCAGAATAGTTCTGCAGAGCCCTTCAGGCACATATTGTAATAGCAGGTTTAGCTATACTAAAATCCTTACGGAAATTTGCAGATTTAAACGTATACCTACAGAATAATAAGCCAAACCAAGGTATTTTCTCCATTCAAGCAGGCTCCTGGACAACAGATATGTGAGCAACACTAGCAAAATTTGACTTTATTGAAGTTTATAAGTGTGTGTTGATTGTGCTTCAGGGATTCATTCTTCATTAGCTTTCTATGCCCCAGGTCTCTGATTTACTCCTTCAGCAATGTCTAAAAAAGAAAGCTCTCAGCGGACCTCAACATACTGTAAGCAAGGATTATTGCTGAAGGCATGGACACATGTAACTTACACATACAACTAAGTGCTCTCAGTTATGTCTTTCCCTATCGGCCTCCAAAAGCAAAGGGGTTTCCTTTGGCAGCATCCAAGCACAAAATTCTCCCTGACACTGCATAAGCTCAAGTTAGTATGTTGGCCAAACTCATACTTAGTCTGTTTTCTACAAATAAAAAATGGCCAGAATGCCTTATCCATAATATGATCAGTCTGCAGTACTCACATTGCCACAGTTGGGCATGCATATCAACTTTGTGGAAAGGCCAACACATGAATGGATCAGCATTTACCTCTAAAGCATCTACTGTCAGAGACAAGATATTGGGCTAGATGGATCACTGATCTGACCCAGGATAGCACTGTTTATTTCTCACAAGAGTGACTTACTGGTGGCCCCTTCAGATTACAGTCAAGATGAGCTAGTTAAAATGTGAAAAAAGCCAGTACCAAAATGGCAACAACTAAATATGTTCTGTGACTAAAGAGGTATGTATAGGTTGTAGCCATGTTGGTCTAAGGACATAGCCAGACAAGATTCTTAGGGTAAATCTGATATATTTTATTAGGCCAACTCATATAGTTGAATAGAAGAGCACACACCAGCTGCAGATGCTTCTTCAGCCTGACAAAGGGTATTTGTACCTGAAAGCTTGCAAATCATTTGTTCCAACTATTTAAGTTGTTCTGATAAAAGATTTCAGATTTACCCAGAGAACCTTGTCTTCTTGTGACTAAAGACAAATGCATTTTCCAGACTCTGCACTTTCTCCAAACATTATATTCATATGCAATAAACACAGAGAATTGCCTTGTAAGAATCTTCCATGCTATACACTCAGTTTTTGTTTTTGTTTTTTTTTAGCTTGAAGCAATCAGAGTAGGTTTTGTAATAAAACATCTTTAATTACAGCACCTTGTGAAGAACAACTACTTTTATTTGCCTTTGGTATACTGTGGTGCCTCTACAAACAGACTGGACTCTGCAGAACTCTTGTGAGCACCTGCACAAATTACAATAGATCCACCGGATAAAAACCTGAGCTTTGAACATGAATAAAACGATGAATTGTGATGCAGCCACAGGCAGAACACTTTCATAATACCCTTTAAAAAATTTTTGTTCAAGTTATCAGCATTCAGTCTGTTTCCTTAAAAGCAATGGGATTAGACAGCTAGCACTGTATATTAAGGTCTTAATAGTAATTGTTAAGACAAAAAATAAATGGTACTCATGCCCACTCCTTTCCCCGATACTATTTCAAAACTAAGGCTTTCAAGCCTTCCCTTCTCCAGGGTTCTGAAATCCCTGTGAAACACTAGTCTTCTTGCAGAATAGAAACCAGCTGATAGAAAGTTACCCTGACATTCATTTTTGTTGTTGTTGAAAAACCTCAAGTGGTAATTCTAGTCTTGCTAGAGGCTCTATCTAGCAGATATACTTAGTGTGGAGCAGGAGGATTCACATTTTGAAAAATGGCTTTGTTAATAATTTATTGCTGGAGATAAATCAGTTAAAGAAAAACTTCCTCACTTACTGTGATGGATGCCACAATAAGGTTATTTCATTCTGCAGAATATGCAATGTGACATGCTAACTGTATCCCAAAGATCAGGAAATGAAAAACCAAACCACACCACTTTGCTTAGTGTGTACAGATCAGTAATGAACACAGATGCTGTACTTTTTGAAGTGCTAGTCCCTATTTTTGGAGGTGGAAAGCAACCAGTTCAGTTTTTAAATTATTTCTGGGAAAAGCTGTTGTTTCCATTATTGTGTACATTATTGTGTATTGCTATTTTACAGGAAGCTGACGACAACCTAGACTTCCTTGAAACAAAAAAACCCAAAACAAAACAAAAATCAGGCAGAAAACTTGCCAGCAACCTGGTGGACTTTGGATATCTGGATTTACTGATCAGTGCACAGCAAATACAAAGAAACAGGCACATATCCACCACTGGTGTAAGTATCATCACCTTCTAATGGTGGGATGGAATACCCCCTTCCCCATGGCAAACAAACTTATCTTGCAAGCACATCGCCTTTGAACTGTGGAAGGCAAGTTACATCGAAGAAGGTCTTTCAAATCCAAAGGTAGTGCTGTTCTCCTATTTCAAATCTTTGAAGTGGCCTAGATCTTCTACAAAAAAAACTGCAGCAGAGCAAAAATTAAACCTGTTTCATTGCCATATAACAAAATCCCAAGAGCAGCAATACTGAAAAGAGGCATCATTCTGCCGTAGATCAGGAAGCCTTTCAACAACAGCAGATAGATATGATGGGGAGTCTCTCTTCATTTCGGCAGGAAGCTGAAAACAAGGGCTTGTGTAAGTAATAGAAACCCCTCTGACTATAGCCAGAACCCAAAACAGCACTGAGTAAAGTTGCCCCTGTGTCTTTCACATCAGGTCATGGCTGACAGGGCTAGTTTTCTGGCTACTGTGTGTGTGGTAAAATTTCCAAGTTTTGCTTGTGGATTGGTAGATGGACTGAAATAATTTAATGGAATAGGTCAAAAAGATTTGCAGTAAAGTAAGAAGAGAGATGATATAGGAGGTAGCAGGCAGAGAACAGGAATGTTTAGAGGGTTATGAAGATTATTCCAAGTAGGAGCACTAATGCTTGTAGGCACAGTGACAGCAAAATAAGTTACTTCCTTGGGGGCACCAAATTTTTGGTTAGACTGTGGTTTGTCCAGGAATTTTTCAAGGCTGATTTAAGGGCAGACTGTGTCCTACATTAGCAAGAATAAACTTATGAAAGGAAAATGTACACCAACAGGAGAATGGAAACCTCTATAGACAAGAAATGCACAATGCAACACAACTCCAAATACAACAAAGAAGAGTAACTGACAGGAACAGACCCAACCTGCACAGTGACTCGGTTTAGCAAAAAAAGGAAGATGAAGATATGATACAGCTAAAATTGATCTGGCAATAAAAGCAAAGTAGCACCTAAAATGTAATATGGGATTTGCAGTGTGACACGTGTACAGTATATAAAATAACATTCCACAAAGTTTTATCCAGATAAACAAGGACAATAGATAACTAAAATACAGAAAAATGTACATGCTGATTGTCTAAATTGTATGCATTTAGTAAACAAGCACACTCAATTTGCAAACAACAATGAAGTGGGATAAAGAGGAGGTAGAAGGGAAAAGAATGATCCCCATTTCATACATCTTGGTAACGTTTTATTCTAACTAAAGAGAGAGACAATTATTTGGAAATAACCACTTCTCCCTTCAATAGCTATCAGCAGATTCATTGCCACTTCCTCTTAATTCACAAACAACCTGTTTGCAATTCCCAATAAAAACTGATAAATAAAGGCAGCAACTCCAGGGAAATTTTAACCACATAGATGCAGGTCCTTGCAGACACTTTCCTCCTGACAAGCTAAAAGAAATAAAAAAAAAAGTTACAGTTCTCACAGCATTAATTCTTGGCATTCCTCCCAGTCCTCCAGTGCCCAGTCTGGCATCTTGGAGCAGTATTCAAACTCTGCTCCTTTGTAGCGCAAGGCATGCAGGTACATCACCAGTTCCTTAGGAGATGGGTCTTGCCTAATTATTTTACATTCTGCACACAAAGGGTCCTTCTCTTCTGTATCTCCATCAAGAGTCCCACTTGGACTGGCTTCTTCACAGCCAGTTTCACTAGTTCCTGGCTTGCTGTAAGAGTTCTGGGAACTATCTTCCTGACTCTTTGAATCCTCAGTTCCACAAGAGTTTTCAGTAATGGCAGTAACTTCCACAGCCTGAGTAGAGCTACCTGAGCTATCTTGGTCTTCACTTCCTGTGCTGAGCTTCAGGCCTTCCTCTGAAATATCCAACATATCAAAGCTCAGTTTTGCATTATGTTCCTCCACTAAAGCCTTGAGGAGCTCCTCATCCGTTTTATCAATTTTACCACCCTTGCCCTTGGCAGGACCCCAGGCTTCCATGTTGTAGATGGGGTCATTAACAATAGGATGTCCCAAGAACTGCAAATGCACTCGAATTTGGTGGGTGCGGCCTGTGTGTGGGAAACATTTGACCACGCTGGTCTTGCCATTATAACTGAGCCTTTGGAACATGGTTTTACAGGATTTCCCTTTGGGGTCTACCCGACACACTCCCACCTTGTAAGAAACAACCAGGATGGGTTCCTCGCAGATCACTTCATTTTCTGGAAATTCCCCAAGAACACGGCAGACATACTCCTTTTCCAACTACAAGAGAAACAAAACAAATTTCAGAAATGTATTTTCAACATAAAGCTTTTTTTTGTTCTAACTAGCTTAAGCTTCATCCTAACTACTTCTATTCAGCTGTAGTATTGCAGTTAAATAGGAGAGACCAAAAATACATTGGAATGGGAAACCTGGCCTTTGCCCCACTAAAATTTATTTTTCAACTTACAAAGCCGTCCCCTAGGGGGGCACAAATCAGGGCAACTGCCCTGGGGCCCATGCTTTGGGGGGCCCTATGGAGCTCGGTGGAGCAGCCACAGCGAATCTGTGCTGCCGCCGGCTTCATGTCCAGCCACTCGCTACCCCCGTCACCAATGCTGCCACTGCCGATGGCAGCGGCAGCTTCTTTGGGTCCGGGGCATGGGGGAGCAGAGTGGAGGTGGGGCCCTGCATGGGCTGATTTGCCCTGGGCCCTGCACCCTGCTTGGATCAGCTCTGTCTACTAATTAGTTCTTTGACAATTAAAATGTTGACTCCTGGTCTTTAGATCTAGTGAGCAATTTTTTAGAGGTTTTTAGTCATTCTTAGCTTTTTATTGTGATCTTTGTTTCATGCCCTAAGTGAAAATCATAAATGCAGATGTCCCACATCTACACTATGCTAGATTGAAGGCCACCATACAAAACATTTACAGGCAAATTTTATACCTTTCAAAATGAAAATAGGGCAGTGGTGCTCAACTTTTTTCCCCGGGGGGATGGATGGACAGCACCCAGTCAGTCCTGCCCTAATTCATAATTCTATGAATCGCAATCTATGAATCCAGCTGCACAGCAAGGTTGGGGGAATTTGGCAGAGAAGGTTGGTGGTATTAATGGCCACTGTGTTCCCTTACTGCCAATTTTCCTGACCAACAGGCAGATGCAGTGGCTCTACAACCCACATTTGGCCTGTGAGCCATGACTCTAAAATTCATGCTGAGCTCAGGCCTACTCACAAAATTTAAATTACAGAATACTGATGCTAACTGCATAATGCAAGAGGATGTGAGTTCATGGCTAGGCCATCTGAGAAAAAAAAATAATGAGGTCCCTCTTCCAGCTTATCTTGCTATATTCAGGATTTTCATAGATTTCATAGACATTAGGGCTGGAAGGGACCTCGGAAGATCATCAAGTCCAGCCCCCTGCCCAAAGGGCAGGCAGTCAGCTGGGATCATAGGATCCCAGCAAGGTAAGCATCCAATTTGCTCTTGAAGGTGTTCAATATAGGTGCTTGAACCACCTGCGATGGCAGGCTGTTCCAGACCTTGGGGGCTCGGACAGTAAAGAAATTCTTCCTTAT